AGGCTGCAAAACCTTTTCTTCCAGAATAGGTTATTTGTATCCACCTGGAAGATAACTGACATAACGTCCATTCTTACATTAGCAAGGTTGACACAGAGCTACTGTTTTGCCAGAATATGAATGAAAAATGCAAGAGAAGGGAGAATTATAGGTTGGGAAAATGCATATCGTGCTTAATATAAATGAGAACTACAAGGAGCATGCATGCCATCATTATTAGATGCACTGCCAAGAGTAAAATAAGGAAGGATATGGCTAGTGGATAACAGATATGATAGATCTGAGTATTTCTGTGTTTCAAAACAACACCTAAACTAATAGATGCTTAACCTATCATTTACATCTCTCCTAGAAAGCTTACAAAAAGTGACAAACCTGAAATAAGGGCTCATTCTCTACATAATATGACGATTTAGGATTTTTCTAAAGAACCTGCATGTTATTTAATCAAAAAGGTGTCAAAGACGAAAAGGTTTCAACAATTGCCAGAAAAATACCACAGAATACAAAACAAAGCCCACCCTCCCTCCCTCCCTCCCTCCCTTCCCCGACAGATGACTTCTGACTGTTAGGCTGGGTTAGGAGAGACCAAATGTACAAGTGTATTGTACCTGTACTGTTGATTCTCTGCCTGAGGGAAATGCAGTTTCTTAGCATTCAAAGTTTACTTTTAAAATAATGGCATTTTCTCCATAATGTTTTTGTCAAGTTCAAAGGAAGTTTGTGATCTGTGAGAACTAAAATTAAAATATCCAGCCAACTATTCTATAGTTGGGAATGAGGAAAAGGCCTTAAAATCACATTTTTACACATTTTATTTAGTATGTTTAAACATCTGCATTGTTGTACAGCTGTATCTATAGCAGGAGCTATACAGACACAAAAGCACAACTCCACGCATGTCCCTGCATTGTTCTGAGACTAATCAATACCAAAATTATCACCAAAAGTTGTCTTTGCAGCAAGGGCTGTGGAGCAGGACACCTTGTGTTAAAACAGGGCACCAAAGCTGTGGCAGTGGAACTTATTTCAGTGTTGAGGAAAGGGCTTAGAAATCAGAGGGGAATCAAGAGGACTGAAAGGCTTCCTGAGTTCTGCTACGTTAAGTTCCAGCCTTTAAACAAAATCTGGTGGTGTAGGAACTGCTAAGGTAGGTCAGACCACTCACGGGTTCTAGACAATCAACGAGCTGGTCTCCTTCGGGGCTAATGCTGCGTGCTTTCAGAAGAGGGGACAGAAGAACCCCACAGATTTAGTGAAAGGTTTCCATGAGGAGCCGTTTCCTTCTGGGCAAAGGCTGGAATAGGGACCCAGGCACTGCAGGCAGGTTTGAATGTTAAATTTGAAGATGCAAACTCCTAGAGGAGCATTTAAAACCCTGTAAGTAAGAAAGAAAAACACAGTATTCAAGCTTCCGAGAGCAACTAGGATAAACCAGAAGTCTTGACTACTAGTAATGTTTTAATCCTGCTTTGCAGCTCTTCCATGCGTTGTGGGGGAGTGGAGCCACTGGAGTGGCTGCGCAGAACAATGTCAACCTGATCTGCGGATACGCAGGCGCTATGTACAGCAAGAACCTAAAAATGGTGGGGAACCTTGCCCTGCTCTAGAGGAGAAGGCTGGCTGCCTGGAATACCTGACTTACCAGGGAGAGGACTGTGGCCATGAACATGGTATTGTCTCTTTGACTTATCTGTACCTTGTGCCCATCAGGGCCTTCATGAGTTTTACTGATGTCAGTGAACAGAAAAAAAAAAAAAAAAAAAAAAGCACCTATCTGCATCTGGCTGGTTAACAACACAATTTAAAACCTTACTTTCTACTGTCATATTGCTCTTTATTCTATTCGTATGTTTTTTTTCTACTCAGGCTTTTCTTAATTTCTGTTAAGTTACAACTAAGCTGCATGCATTCATTCGGTTTCTTGATTTAAGCCCTTCAGTAAATATTAAATTATCTCTGTGCAAAGTTAGAACACAAATTCAGTACGAAACAGGAAGCAGAGCTCCTTGGAGGATTCCAGCACATCCTAGTTCCTCACAGACTAGATGTGTCTGTGCATTGCCAGATATATTTCTTCTGAATAAGGAGGGGGCTTAGCTGTAGGGTTGAGATCTGATGTTGCCAACATTTTATCCCTTTTTCGATAGTCAGTCAGCATCACCATCCACAAGCTCCTGAATTCATTCACTCACTGTTAGAGTAATTGAAATACGAATCAACTGTCTTGCTGCCTTACTGTAACTACTTTCTTCCTCAGTCCCTGCTTTCATAACTACCTCTGAATATGGTAAAGAAAGAAAACGGCGAGCAGCACCTTCTCTCTGGGTTTCAGACAAAGAAGCAGCTGGGTAATCTATTTATTATATGCATGTGCGTCATCTTGTTCAATAGAAAATAGCTGGCTACAGGGAATCATGTAATGAAATATGCAATAATTAAACAATAAGCTATAGTTGTACTGTTTTTCTCTATTACAGTTCATTTGCATGTTCTAGATATTTTTTATTACTTGCTACTTGTCCTGATTTAGACACTGGGGTCATGGCAAATCTGAAGATAACTGATTTTGAAAGCAAACAGCAAATAATGTTAAACCAAAGCCGAATATATACATAAGTGTAAGCCTGAGAAATCAGACGTAGGTATCTGAACAAACAAAATGGGCTGAATGTGATCGATCTCAAGAGACCTTTTTTTCAATTAATTGACAGAAGCAGTAAAAAATTTTGTTTGGTTACCAGCAGAGATGGTTATGAAGTTTAAATGAGGCTATTACTGGGTCTGTAATGCTCATAGTGCTTTGTTCTATGCTAGTTTTCCCAGAACAATAAAGCCCATCGGTATTCTTAAAGCCCCTTTTCCATTTTCTTTTTTAGGAGCATAGAAAAAAAAAAAGACCGGTTACTGAGATCTGTTTTTCAACATAATTTAAGAACACAGAATACAATCAGAAAGTGAGATTATACGTAAAGCACTGGAGTGGGATGTGGAATGGAAAATAGTTTGCTCGATGCTTTTAAGAACCCATTAATTAGGTTAGGGTCAGAAACAGACTTGTTAGCAATGATGATGCCTAGCTTGCACTTCACTAATATCACCTGTATGATATGTAAATACATTAAAAGCATACGCCTAGTTTGTGCTTTATCGGTCATAACTAATTTAGTGCTTTTCCTTCTGATCAGATATTGTGTGGAATTTAAAACAGAATCCCTTTCACACCACTGTGCTTTGGAGAATCGGCCGTACGCTCGATGGATGCAGTACCTACGTGAGGGACACACTGTGTGCGTAGCCTGCCAGCCTCCAGCTATGAACACTGACACGCACCGCTGTTCTGGAGATGGCCATAATGCAGATGGGTAAAGAAAGGCATTTTTCTGCTGTGTCTTCTGTAGCAAAACCCAGTACAGAAGTTAGGACTTCTCAAGGTCTCATTAAAAGCTGCATTTATTATACCTACAAAATGAAACAGCTCGTATCACTTGCAGAACTCGGGTTTACCCTTTCAGTTCTCACAGAAATAGCTTTAAAAACCTAGAAAAAATTGGGAAATTATTTCAACAGAAGAGTTTGGTGCTTTGAATACTTTATTTGCTATTGTGAAGGGATGATGCAACTTCTGTAGCGCAAGAGGCTTTTTTACAGCTATGGGAACTTTTACTAACAAATGGTCTTTCCTGCCATAATCCAAATCTGATTTCAGGTTTAACAGTGGTGGATCAGTACTTCTCTCAAACCTATACACTTGGGTTTCTAGAACAGTAATTCTGAAAGTAGACATTTAATATTCAGAACAGAATTTTATTTGATCTATACATTTATAATATGCATACTACTTAATACAACCAGCTATTCAGTCCACCATCCTGTGTACTAAGGAACATAGTGCCTTCTCCAGAAAACATTTTAAGAGCTAGATGAGCTAATTAAAGTCTTACATTATTAAGCAAATTTAATCTTCTGACATGTTGTACAACACAACCTAGTAACATGAAATACAGAGTTTTCGGTGTTTTAATTCCTCATTTATTGTCACATTTCAGAGGTAAAATCTTACACTGGGAAGCAGTTGGCAACTCTCAGTGCCAAGGAACCTGGAAGAAGATTCGGCAGCTGGAGCACTGTTCATGTCCCCTAGTGCATAGCTTTATTTTTACATAAAAGTTTAAAAAAGATTAAGAAAATTAACACCAATACCAAGAAATCTACATCTTTCTGCTGCATTTTCTGAAGCCTAAGCAACCTTTATAGGAGACTTATAACTTTGGAAGAAGCATTTCAGGAAACTCCCTCTGCCTTAATACAAAGTGCTAAGACTGATCTCTGTATTAGAACACTAGAAGCATGTTTCCATGTTTCTCTTCTGTAATTAAAGGGCTAATGTTTCTAACAGTAGTAGTGACTTTTCCTGAAGTTCTCATTCTTTACTGGCCACAGTCCTGGCCACAGGCACTGCTCCTACTCAGTAGTGAGCCAGACAAACATTTTCAAGTCTGAGAATAGTTACTGTCATCATTAAATAGCAAGGGTGAATACAAATTAAAGTTTGAGAGCTAAAACCAGATCTCAGTTTAGATCCTTACTTCCTTCCCAGTATCTTCCAGACAGTTGTTTATACTACAACTAGATAAGTATTCTTCCTCTACATTGCAGTTTTCATGTTCAGCCACCTTCATAAAGATGTATGAGGAAGTAATCCTGCTCAGAACTTCAGGTGACCAATGCACAGTGTGAATTTTAAGACACGAACCTAAACAAGACTTTGTGACTAAAGCCTTGGGTAACATAAAATTACTTATTACTAGTTAAAACTGCTCATGTGCCATGATTAACATAGAAACCTGCAATATTAGAGCACTGGCAAGACTGCTATGCAGGTAGCTCAAATCCTTTTCTTACTTATTACTTATCTTGAATTATTGCTACAGCATTAGAGAGTCTGCATACTGTACTTTCTCACATCACATGCCTGCTATGACTTTCTGAATTGTTGGCTTACAGCTCCTCTAGCATTCCTTGCTGAAGGCCAAAGCCTGTATTTCATCAAGATCCTGAATTTCACAATGTTTGCTAAAAAGAAATTATGCCTTAAGGTTGAGAAAATTTACTGTTGAGACGTGCAGCATCCCTGTGGAACCTCAAGAGTACCTCTTGCTGCTGTTTCTAGTGGCTGCAAGAAGAAACAGTAGCGTCTGTGAAAAGAATGAGGAGGGTGATCTGGCTGAGGTCCTGCCCGTAGTAAGTGTGAAACAAACCTTTGTAACTGTACTTTGCTATTTTATCTTAATGTAAGCAGGCCTCCAAAACAGAAAGCAGAGATTACCTTAATACTTCCTGAACATTTCAGCCTTCAAGAATATACCTCCTCCTTTGTAGCCCAGAATTATATCTCAGAGAGGTTTATTTTATTATGACCAGTTTGGACAGATGCTTTTCCTTGTAAGGTTCTTGTAAAATAAAACCCTTAACCAAGGACAAAGGCACAGAAAACATCTGAATGGAAGAGAATTCACTTTTAAAAGATTTCACTTTTAAAAGAATGCCGTGATACGTTAGTTCGAGTCACCAGCTTCAAACCAGTTTGACGGTGAAAAGCACAGGTTTTCGGAGCCTGCACAACTCTTCTCCATGCAATCTGAATGAAGAGAGACAGTGCAGTACCATCATCCATCGGTTGCAATCTCTCACGAGCAGGACATTTACAGGGACCAACAGACACCTCGACAGTTACCCCATCAGAGCATACCTTTGCTTGCTATCCCCGCAGGCAGAGGCAGCGGAGAGCCGAGGCGAAACGCGGCTCACGAGCTGCGCTCTCAGTGTTGGTACAGACTCGCTGCGGAGCCCCGCTCTGGCCATTCCTTTCTGAGCTTTCCCTTTACTGCTGGTTTAGAAGTCACTTCTCAATACAAGGTAGGTGGCACAAGATAATCAAGAGATGTTAAAATCTAATATACTGTTACTTTCCATCTATTTTCTACCTCCTGCAAAATAAAAGGTGCTATTATGCCAATATACACTAGTTCAAAACAATCTTCCACCTAGATCTTAGGCTTAATTCTTTAAATAAAAAAAAAAAAAGCACCATCTTTACTACTTATATATATAAAATGACATGGAATATCACATTTTAACTGCAAAAAAAAAAGAAAAGGAATAATTCTGTAAAATTAGCAATACTAATACATACGTATTTTTTTGTCATAACTTACTGGCAGAGATGACAGGTCTGACCAAAATCTCAGAGTGAAGCAAATCAAATTAGAATGGGTTATATGGCAGGAAGTAAAATAAAAAGCTCAGTCTGACTAGAGATACAACCCTTTTAAAATACAAAACACTTGACTTTATTAGCCTCTATCATGCTAAACATGTTGCCAGTTATTTAATATCCCTGTGTACATAATTGACCTTTCTTAATTCACTTCAAGCATTTTCACATTTTAGAAATTAGGTCATCTATTGCATGTGGATAAAAGGCCAGGCTTTACATTTAGGTCATCATTACCCGAACAAGTGAGATTACATGAATGTTTTATACCTATTACTATTCTGTTTCGTGTTTTAGGACAGCAACACCGCTGGGCACTCTGAGACTAAAATAAGTCATTATTCTGAAAAGCTAGACTAGGTCCTTATGCAGGGAAAAGTCAAGAAGAGTCGATTCCTGTAATCCAAATTAGCCTTGTTCGATCCTGCACAGTGTTCTCCACCGGTCTTTTAACATGACACTCGTTCGGTTGTTGAAGTCACCATGGACCAAAATTTTAGCCCAGTTACCTACTCCAAACTCCCTTACTCCTGATTTCAGTTCCAAGTCTTCTTTGTAAGTCCATCGCTAGGGGAAGAACAGAGAAAAATACTGGTTATATGAACAGAGAAAGGTATTAAAAGTAACAGCTAAGCTTATAGCAAATAGAAAAGCAAGTTTTTATACAGCTCTCTAGACAGAGTACAGCTGTCTGAAGGCCAGGAGGGTTATTCTGACTTCTTTTGAGCACCATAACTTGACAGTAAATACAATAACAAAGGTTACCAAGTCAAGTGTTACAACACAGTAGCAGACATCACCTGGAACAAGGACCACACGCTTCAACATTCACAAGTTACAGGAGAAAAAGAAAAGAAAAAAGGCATTGGGCAAAGCTTTGCTTTGTTCAAATCACGCTTTGCAAAATTGTACTTTATCAGCCAAGACAAACCTTGACTGATCCTAGTATGCATCACAAATGAGAAAGCATTTGTGACACATCAGCCTAGGGACTGAGAATCAAGACACCATTTACCAACAACAAAGGAATTTCAGTGCGCTTAGAAAAAAACAGATCCTAATATTTAAAATGCTGATAGAAGCAAAATGATACATATTGCATTTGAACGTGGTATCAGCAACATCATCAGGTAAGAGCTATGCATTTGGTTTTAGCCACTTGTTGAGCCCACTACTTAAGTTTCACTGTCATGATCTACAAGCTTTTTAATGATTAGGGGATGACTTTCTCTCATAAAAACAGAGAAAAATACTTGCAGTTACACATCCGTAAGCATTTGCAGCTAATGGTCTTGTTGGTCAGAAGGATTTAATTGACAAAGGAATGAACTATTTGTGAAGGGATGTACTATCTAGATCTTCCTTGTCTGATGAATTTCATTTGCTGCTGTTATGTACCATATGCTGATTATCTGACACAGTTCTGGTGAAAAAGGGGTTGTAGAGGTTGTAAGAAGTCTGTGGCTGCCCCACCTGGGCAGAGTTCACATCAGCAGAGGCTGTCACCATGCTGCTCCCTGTCCTCTCCTATAGCCACAGCAATAAATCGCTTCTGCTCTGACCTGATCTAAATTGCAATTCAGATTATTTCCATGAAAGCATCTGGTGCTGTGAATGTTTCACTCGAGTGGACTGTGGGCTGCTCCCTGCCACTGCTTGGAAAGGCACAGGACCTTCTGAAATCCCTGCTGGGGCTTCAGCCAAGGGTCATCTGTAGGCTCCTGCGGCATGCAGGGGCTGCTGAATCCCAGCTTTTAATACAGGCCAGCCCAGCACCCCGTTGCCAGCTAAAAGAAAGGTAATTGTAGTTCTGATCTGGTCAAGGTAAGTCTGGTAAAGCTACTTCTGGTATCCGGTAAAATTTAGGAGAGGTTGGTCAGGAAAGTCTGGGTTGGTTTCAGCTATTAACATGGTATGAAGGTGGAATGAACAAGCTGGCTTCAGGACAGGGCTGAAGCCACACACAGCCACCCAGGTAGGGACTGGCTTTAACTTGGCTGCAAGGGCAAGGAGTGGAGGTTTGGTCCTGGATTGCCAGTTATCCCTTCCCTGTCTCCAGCTCCAGTATGAGCTCCCTTGGAACCTGACATTAACAGTCTCAGACAGCACAGTGGGCGCTCAGGATAGATGTTGTGACCAGAAGCAGCTCTTGGGTGGCTTGTAGCTTTTCCTTTGAGCATCTAGTTATTGTCAGGGTGGACAGTCAGCCCAGGAGCAGTGACTGCAAGCTGACTAGGCCCCCTCTGCCCTTCCTTCACCTCCCTGAATGAGTAAAAATTTCACCTTGTACCTGAAAGGGAAACATCTTGCAAGTGTACACTGGAGTACAACCAGAACATAGAGTACGCATGGGATGAGTGTGTGAGTGCTTATGTTTGGTGCATCCAGCTGCACCAGCTGGCAGGCAAAGGACCTGTGAAGCAAGGGCCAGGATACAGACAGGGGGCCTGTGCTCACATTTGGTCATCTGCAAGCATTCATGTGCCCGTGAACCTAGAGAGGCATGTGTGTGCTCTCACCAGTGAAGTTACACCTCTTGGGCAAGGACCCTGGGTGCTGGGCTGGGCTCCAGCAGCCAGGCACAAGGCCCCTCAGCTGGGGCTGCTGGAAGAAGCAGCCGCTCCTTACATCCCTTAACAGTTGTATAGCTGAGTTGTCAGTATTCCCGAGATCAAATGTATATAATAGTTATGGGACTGGGGACTAATCCTTTGTTAATGTGCCTGCAATGATAAATTGGTAACCAAACCTACAGAGCATTACTCCCAGCGGGGACCTGCGCTAATAAATCCTCAGGTTAATTGGAACAAATAGACTGGGGGCGAAAAGATGTTTATAGAGCATTAGAAAAGCAATAGGAGATATAAATGGCTGAAACTGAAGGCCTAGAACGTGTAGTTTGGTGGATGACAGAGAGAGGTTTACCAGAGTATGTACAAGACCTTCTCCTATAAGTAAACAGATCACTTCCAACTATCAAATGGATAAACGATGATGGCTATAAAGCAGGAGAACACCCAGAAGAATCAGGCTATGGCTGATCTTTACAACTGGAACTTCAAAAACTGTGAAGAATTGGGTAAAAAGGAAAATGCAGTTGCCAGGCAATAGCCCCAACTTATAGAAATTTAAACCTGATAAAGTCAACTAGTAGAACTGAGTAGTACAGAGGAAATCTGTGAATTACAGGGAAACAAACTTCACTTAACTCTGCAAATAATGTACCCAGAGGAAATGTAAATTGCACAGCTGCTGTCATTAAACAAATGCATACCATCCTGCTTGTGCGCAAAGGGTGGCTGAGCAAGACAATCCAGGGCCAGCCAGTATGATTGTCAGTGGCACAAAAGGTCCATGGATGAACAGATAAATCCTTCATCCATCGAGATAAAAAGCATTATTTTGTAACTTTCTCCTCTCCTAATGATCTGGAACCCTTTCTGGGGATCCTTAAAAGATTTTGCCCTTAAAAGCAACAACAATTCAGGCACTAGGTATGGGCCAGGTGACAATTATGAGTGCCATTCTGCATGGTTCCCCCCTTTCCTTGAATTTAAGCTGCTAAAAGTGGCATCAGCACTCAGAGGTGAAAGGATGTTTCTGGGCTGGGGGAGAAGGAGTTTAGATAACATTCAGCCTGTTCAGAGTTGTATTCTATTTTTTCCTACAACCAACAAAAACTTGGTATCTACACAAAGTAGAAGCTGAGGTACACAAAGACCAACCTTCACATCTGAAAGTTGCACTTATTCCAGCTCAGTGTAACTATCAGTGCCTCTTCAAGAAGCTATGATCCCTGATAAACCTCAATAAGCAGTAGAAGAATTAGGAGTGGTAGTAGGTTTAACTGTGTTTCTAAACACTTAGAAACTTAAAACTCCCCTAAAATAGTCTACCTTTCATCAAAAATACTTAATTTTTCCAATACTTCCTGTTCCACAGAGCTTTTGCAACATTAGCAGTGAATGGTGGAGGGTTTTTTTTTTTCTTTTTACTATTATTAAAAGGCCAGAGATTCCATTGGAACCATCTAGAGTTTGTCTCATTTCAGAGCATGCCAGAAAACTTTCCTAAATAAAATCTTTATTCAAGTAACACAGTTATGCTTGACCTACAGCACCAGATAATTCAAATACTTTCAGCAACAGAGACAATCACAACCCTTGTTACTTGTTCTAATGATTAATTACACTTTCTGTTAAAAGGGTTGGTTTTTGCTTGTTTTGCTTTTAAATTGCTTATATTGAGCTTGCTTTTTAAAAAAAATTTCTTCAGTATAACGTATAAAAGAAGACACTGCCTTACAGGTAAACCAGAGACTGACTCATTTTCTTTTCACTGAGGAGCTGTATAGAGCAGTAACTTGCACTGCCTGCCCACCAACAAACTGCCTGTGCCTTCTGGGATGGCAAGTCTGTAGACTCCACCATTGCACTGTCACAAGCTACCAAGACTGGTTGAGAGACTGGACATAATGCAGCACTAAGCTTGAGCTAACATAATGACAGCACCTAGTCCAGAGCAATGTGACATTTAGCTAGCTCCGAACGCTTGAAGAACAAGCTTGAGTTTGCCAGATACTGTGTAGATGTACCCTCACCTGCCTAAAGATCTTGTTATTCCTTAGTCAGTTCTGCTCTAGTAACCTGTCATCTTTTGATTGTGTGTTCCAGGACTCTGCTCTGATTTTTTTCCTCCAAGTTTAAATATATGGAATTCTTTTTTTTTTTTTTTTTTTTTTTTTACACACAAGTCTGAATTATGAAAACCCAGATTTTCAGACACATTCATTAATTTAATCAAACTGTCAGTCAGATTATAGACAACTCGCAGGACTCGTCATATACATACAGGATATAAAATTGAGTACAAACAGTTCTCTAAATTCTGCGACACTTGCATCCCCTAATTTAGCAATGAAAAAATAAAGTACACTTTCTTTTAATAGCACTTCAGATTGTTGTATGCAGCTAACTGAAAACACAGCAATGAAAGGCTGAAAATGGGCACTGAACCATTGCAATGAAGTGCCATTTAAAAAACAAGAGCAAACAATGCCAACATTGAAAGAGGGACTACATGGAAGAGGAAGTTCTAGAAGTCAACAGCTCTGACATTCACTGCATTCCTTCATGCATGAAGACAATTTTATAACCCAGATTATTAAGCAGAGGAGCAGATTTATTGTTTAAAAGGCCAATTATCATTTCTTTCTATACAATATTTATGAGAGGGTCTCACTGTCAGGGAATATGGCATAAATATCACACAGACAGCAAATGCATACTTTGTGTTTAAAATGTTTAAAGAAACAGTTCTGAATCTTAATTTCTTTCAAGTTTATATAAAATTTTCAATGAGTTCTTTGCTACTATCAGATGTAGTTTTCTATAAATTTAGTCTTTACCCTTCAATTAAGGTTGAACTATAATCACAGAATTACACATATGACACCTGTTATTTCCTAGTGAGATGTGTGCACAAGACCTAAACCTGGATACAGTGCTTGTAGCTCACTCTGTAACAGAACACCTCAACATAAAATTAGTGAATATAAGGCTGTCGTTAGCTCTGTGTCAGCTGTGGTCCAATTAGTTTAAATATTGATGTTGAAAACAAAATTCATGGAAGTATGCATACTTACCAACAACTGGCTGACAAGGTACCTATCCAAGTATAAGTCAGAGTAAAGTAATTTATTATGTTTTTGAAGGTAAAAAGCAAATCTAGTAAGTGCTGCTTTTTTTTTTTTTTTTTAGGACACTGGATGTATTTGTGGCTTTTAAGGAGTCTCAGTGATTTAACTATTCCTGAGATTTGTGAGAAAGTGAAAAAACATTTATCTGTAGCAGGGGGCTTAACCTCCAAGGATAGATGAGCTCTCATTAGGATCCAAATCAATTCAAGGACAGCCTGTAACTGAAGATCTAACCAGTACTTCAACTTCAGTAAAAATGCTTAGCAAGATAGGAATAAGTACAACTCTCCTCAAGGACAGTCTGAAAAAACTTAAGCAGGTTTGTCCTTCCCTGTTATATGAAAAATGAAGCAGCTCCCATCAAAATGGACATATGCTGATAACTTATATTGTTGTCTAAACAGAAAGCTTCTGTGTTGCTTCCTAAGAGATATTCTCAAGAGGAATTCAAAGAGAATATATTTATTTAATATTAATTTAATTCAGAGGTGTTTATCATTTTATAACAACTGAATAAAATTGGCTATGTACAAAAATCAGTTTCTAACTGTTTACCTCAACGTCAAATTTACTTCAAATTGCCTTCTATTAAGGCACAGACTTCTGTGCTTCCCACCAATAAGAAATTCTGGCATTAGTGAACACAGTAGAAATAATTTAAAGGAACTCAACGAAGTAGGCTTACCCTCGAAGAGAATGTAAAGGACTATTTGAAATGTAGCATTATAAAAAGACCCTATTATTTGGTTTATAAAAACTAGAACAGTTTCCCAAGTAAATGTATGTTTTCACCTTATATGAACAAAGTACTGAATTATAAAATTGCTAGATTTTTAACCTTTTAAGTGGGAAAACAAAAGGTCTTTGATGTTTGCCCCAAATTCTCATGGGCAAATGACATCCTGAGTTCTTTAATCCAAACAGTGGAAAGAATTTTTTATTTTCTTCATGTTTTTAAAAGACTCAGACTAAGCTTTAGGAACAGTGTATTTCAAGAAATTAAAGGCTCATAAGCATTAGCAACAATATTTGAGTCTGCATAAAAAAAGTCCTTTTCTATTTCAAATACAAGAATTAGAACTTAAAGTTTCAGGAGTTATAGCACAACTTGAGTAAGGGAGAATCTTAAACCCAGGCATTTTGGAGACAGTCAAACGAAGTTGGGAAAAAATTTTATGCAGTGCTGATTAAGTTTATCTCTATTTAGATTAGAGAATGGGTACTAACCCGTTTTCTTCGGCCACAAGCCAAAGCAACACCATGGTTTTCCACATTCTGAAAGCTGTTCAGACCTAGAAGACAGTTAATATACATCCAAACCAATGAGGAATCAAAGTGAAGGCAGCAGTTTTACATTCTACCATTTATGAGACAAGAATGTACACTATTTTGATATGCCTTGAAGGACTAGGAAAATTTCAGTGTCTGTTTATATATGACTACACATGAATGTCACCTTAGTCTAAGGACTCAGAAAATAGTCTGTTCAAAAAAGTCACTATACTTGCTTAGCCAACAGAGCTCAAAGATCTATTTTAAACAGTTAGGTAGAAATTGTAACATAATAATGAAACATTGTTATTTCATTTTGTAAAAGCATTTTTACTATACATATTGCTCTCATTTAACATAGAGAGAATGGAAACTAATCAGCAATCAGAGCTATGATACTTTGTATATAGGTTCCATCCTTTCCACAGAACACCTGTCAGGTTCTAACTGCAGCAAGTATCCCAGGGGCCTTAAGTGTTTGTCCTTTCAAGTACAACATGGCCACATGCAGAAACTACAGTGTCATCTCTCTGTGGTAAGAGAGTGCTAATGGTTTTCAGAATTTACTTATAAATATTATATAATCCATGCTGTAGTTTTTAAAAAGTAATACCAGGAAGATGCATGAACATTCTAACTTTGTGCATTTTACACTACAATTTGTTTTTCCAATCATCCAATCTCTTCAGTTCCTTCACTCCAAAGTTATCTAGGTCAGAAGTCAGAAAGACACAAGTTTCAGTACTCCTCTAACAGCTTTATTTTGTACTGAATACTGTAAATCCCAGTAAAGCAAGTAAGAAAACAAAAACCCAAGTGAACCCCAAAACAGTGAATGAATTCACAAAGTGAGTTGCCCTGAAACCTTAAACCATTTTATAGCTTCCTAAATGTTGGCAAACACTAAATCTGCATTCGTGCAGAAACACACACAACAATTGGGAGGTTTTTTCTACCACAATAATTTTTATATTGATCTGATCACATCGGATAGCAGTTATCAAACCACCAACCCATTTATTGTGGGGAGATGAGGGAGAAAGCGTTTGATATGACTGTTTTGAAAGTGTAAAAATAAGCTAATACTTACTCTGAAGAACACTGCTCACTCTGTATTTCTGTCCTGAATGAGGCCTGCAAGGAACACAGAAGTGAAGTAAAAATACACAGAACTTCATGAAATATCTACAACTAAGAACAAGAACAACAAAATAATGTTGACCTTAACGTGAGGTTTTTTTTATGTCTCCAGGTGACTGATTTGTAGTAATCTGTTGCTTTTTCATTGATATTTAAAAAAAGCCAAAAAATTAATTTCCAAGGTGGCATTAATTTGCCATTTATATGATTCATTAGAGGACACTACTCTTAGTTCTACAAGTTCCAAGTTACTGTCTGTCCTGGGTTTGAATGAGTGGTGGGGTTTTCTGGTAGCAGGGGAGGGGGCTATAGGGGTGGCCCCCTATGAGAAGCTTCTTGAAGCTCCCCCAGCTCCAAGTCAGCTCCACCTCTGCATCAAAACTGAGCCAATCAGCTGTGCCTCTGTAGTGAGGAGAAGTTGCAGCAGCTGTGTGAACACCAAGGTCAGTGGAGGAACAGAGGAAGAAAGGAGGGGGGAGGTGTGCCAGAGCAGAGACCCCCCTGTATCCTGTGGTGAGACAGCAGGGTGACCGCCCCTGCCACCCATGAAGATCTATGGTAGAGCAGACACGGATTTATGGTGTTCTGCCTGGATGATCAAGGTTCTGTGCCTGAAGAAGGCCAGGATCTTGTGGGAAAAGGTAGCCCCGCTGCTGTAATTCAGCGCTGGGAGGATTGCAGCATGCGGGGGAGTCCCACGCCGGAGCAGCTCGGGAAGGGCTGCAGCCGTGGGAGGGAATCCAGGTTGGAGAAAGTTGGTGACCCATGACAGAGCAGTGTAAGGAAATGCTGCGGCCTGTGGGAGGGACTCACATCGGAGAAAATTTGTGGAGGACTGTCTCCTGTGAGAGAGGGACCACGATGGAGCAGGGGGAATAAGTTCCAGAAGCTCCCCCCACCAAAGATGGAAGAAGAGGCAGCACTGACTGCACCCCCCATTCCCTGCCCCTGCGCCGCTGGGGGGAGGAGGTAGAGATATCGGGAGCAGAGCTGAGCCCAGGAAGAAGGGAGGGGTGGGGGGAAGGTGTTCTCAAGATGTGGCAATGCTTCTCACTGTCCTTCTCTGTTAAGTGTTGTTAGTGTCTGTAATAAATGTATGTTCTCTTTTTTCTTCCCCTAATGAGTCTGCCTTTTGCTCATGACCATGATGGGTGATCTGCCCCTCCCAGACCTATCTCAAACCCCAAACCTGGCTCATCCGTCCCTTCTCATTGCCGGAAGAGAAGTGGGAGAGAGTGGCTTCATGGTGTTTTGTTGCTGACCAGGCTCAAACCACAACACTGTCCAAGCATGTCCCTCAACAGTATAATGCTTAATACAAACCTTTGTTTTGTTTCTGAATTCCTTTTGTCATTTTCTTTGTCATTCACAGTTTTGTTTTGCAATGCTGTTGTTCCCAATCCATTAGACTCTACTTGTTTTGTGGCTGCCTGTAAGAAATGGAATTGATACTTCAAAATTAAAGTCAACCAGCATACCTAGATAGATTACATTAAGATTAATATGTGTACTCTAATAGAATAGTGCTTATTTCACACCTCTGAAGGGTCTATCACCATTAAGATCAGTAGTTTCAAAACAACTGTAGTGTGTTAAATTGAAATCCATCAAGATCTTTATCATCTAGTAACTCAGAGATTTTAGTGAAGCCACAAGTGAATGAATACTTGTATAATAAGTGAACACTGAGATATGTGATATACATTGCAGAAATTAATTATCAAAGCACTCCAAAGCCTGTTCTTTAAACTAGAAACTGAAAACTGACAGGCCTCAAGTTCCTCTAGTTCTGTAGCACACGGCAGAACCAAATATACCTATAACACTTCTATATACAACTGATCACACTTGAGGCCGGTAACATAACCTTTCTTGTATTAGTGAAAGAATTTTGTAACCTCCTGCCTAAACCTCTAGCCACAAACTAAGATGATTTCTCCTCCATTCCCAAGAGGAGGAAGGAATAGTTCACTGCTCGTTACAGTGTCCAGATGATTGTAAGATTAGTACTTTTCCCTAGATTCCTTCCACTTGCTATAACACCACCTTCAAAAAAAAAAAAAAAAAAAAAAATCACTTAGCCCACATGAGGTCATTCTTGCCACTTTGCTATTAACTTTCTCTAACATCTTAAGGTATACTTACTACCCAAACAATAAAAAACATCCTGGTTGTACACTAAGCAGAGCCAACCATCTTCCATCCAACACTGCCTATGCATGTCAAAAAGTGACCTGTTTTGCAACACTCAAATATCAAAATGACTTAAGTTGACAGATTCACTACAGGCCCAATATTAATTTTCTCTGCTTAGCCAGTTACTCCCACTTTTCATCTATTTCTTCTTCCAGGGCTTGCTTTTGCCTCCAGTTAATTTTCCATCATCCATCCAATTTTCAGTCCTCTTGAAATCTTAACCCGTCCTTCACAGTAGCTTGGAAAATCTTTCAACATTTATAAGAGTCAGATAATATAAAAGTATTATTTTACTCATTCATCCATGAAAATACTAGATGGTATTCTGTGATCAGAATACCTCCAATTACAGAAAAAAAAAAAATGTTTCAGTGTCATAAATTTCATAGCTACAACATCTTTCAGCTGTAAGTTTTAAAAATACTGGCTCTTTTGCAGTGGTTGATGGTAGCAAAACACTCGGGAAATTAAGGACATATTTCCATACAGATAAAGGAATAGAAAAGATTTAGTTAAAAATTTAAGTTAACAGTAGCTTTCAAATTGTACTAGTCCCTAAAAATAGTTCTTTTGAAAGAAATTGAAGAAAAATTATGAAGTACTGAGATCAATGCTTTCTTGGTATAGATCCTTGTAATACAGTATCTGCAGACTGTTCATAGGGTAGATAACCTATAAGAGTTTCTTGAAGCCCAAGAGCTTCATCAACAGTAGGAGCTGCAATCTTGTAGATTCTAAGCTTAACAATGACCTAGGAAAAGCAGCCTACAAAACAGGCTAGCAATGTAGACAACCTTATGGTAGATGAAGAGCTGGACATGAGCCAGCCACATGTGCTTGCAGCCCAGAAAGTCAATCATATCCTGGGCTGCATCAAGACAAGTGTGGCTAGCAGGTTGAGGAAGGTGATTCTCCCTCTCTACTCTGAGACCCCACCTCAAGTACCCTGTTCAGCTCTGGGAACCCCAGAGTAAGAAATACATGGACCTGCTTAAGCAGATCCAGGGGAGGCCATGAAGACAATCAGAGGGATGGAACACCTCCCTTATAAGAACAGGCTGAGAGTTTGGGTTGTTTAGTCTGGAGAAGAAAAGGCTCTGGGGATACCTTCTTGTGGTCTTCCAGTACTTGAAGGAGGCCCTATAAGAAACATAGGAACAAACTTTTTAGCAGGGCCTGTTGCAACAGGACAAGGGATAATGGTTTTAAACTAAAAGAGAATAGATTTAGACAAGATATAAGGAAGAAATTTTTTACGATGAGGGTGGTGAGACACTGGAACAGGATGCTTAGAGAGGTGGTAGATGCTCCATCCCCAGAAACATTCAAGGCCAGGCTGGATGGGACTGAGTAACCTGATCTAGCTGAAAACGTCCCTGCTTATGGCAAGGAGGGTCAGACTAGATGGCCTTTAAAGGTGCCTTCCAACCCAAGCTGTTAGAGGATTCTATGGTTATACTTCTACATATAACACCAGAAGAAAGAGAAGAGATCAACAGTTAAAGATGGAGTGTTTTTCTGTAGAAAACTCAGTGTATACTGCTGGGAAACAGTTACATGAATTGCACAGCAGAAGTGGGAACTCTTCACAAAGTGATCTCCTCCATATCCCAGAATAACTCAGTCCAAAGTAAAGATTTCAGAAATAAATTTGTAACATTTGTGCAGATAGTAGGACAGATGTGTAGGCAGTGGGGCTACAACACAGAGGGCCTAGGTGTGTTAGTAGGGCATTCCAGACCTTCTCCAATACCTCCAAACGTCCATCTCCTCTTAGACTCAAAGAAACAGCCTTGAAAAATAAACTTGAAAACTGACAGCTGAGTGGAACCATTAAAAGGTATTCCTTGTATTATATTTTGAATGCATTTAATATATTCTCTAGTCTTTCTGGTAAGAAAATGAAAACCCCAGAGGAACTTTAAGTTTGTTTATTTAAAATTTGCTTCTTATTACCTTTAGATGTTTGTGCTTTTGTAATCGAACAATTCAATATTCTTTTAGAGGAAGTAAACATAAGAGAAATTCTTTACAATCCTCCTGAAGATGGAATGTTGTTCTTGCCAATTTTAAATCACTTTTGAGCAAGATGGTTTGCAAGGAGCTTTTTTATTTACAGGAAAAAAGCAATGATAGTTTTCTGTCTCCTAACTCCTCTGATATTCCTAAAGCTTTTAGCCAAATTATCAGGTCTTGATATTTTAGTTTTAGTATGAGAAGTCATACAGACTTAAACAACATTAAATATATAGTTACATTATCTTTTAAGGAGACTCAGATCTGAACTTCTCTTAAACATAAACTAATGACAGAGCTTGTTTTATTTATGCTTTTTTCTAACTATTTTTCTAATCAAAACACTTGTGGAAAAAACATTCACAAGATATTTTAGAGGAGTCTTACTCCTACTAACTTTCTCCTAAACATATACTTAACTTCTGTTTTTATTTAATAATACAATCCAAAGGAAGACAGATTAAACCTCCTTTTCATCTAATATAGTAACTGAATATTGTCTAAACAAGTCCCTTGAAAGTATAAACTGTTTAATTTTATCAGGTTCTCTTTTGAAATAAGATTTGAAAATAGTTTTGACATACCTGTATTAAGAAGTTAGTTTCATTTTCTTGCAGGAAAAGCTCAATGTAAGACTTTATTTTAATTATCAAATGATCGTAACTGAAGCTTTGGAGAAGGGGAACATATGGATCCTTGCTTTTAACTACAGTTGCCAGCTTCACCCTTAAAGGCTAAGAAAAGCACAGCTTTAAACAACACAAAAATATATCCTGTAGTAAACTTGACATATATGCTAAACAGGACATACAAAGCTAAACATAATAAACCAGTTTTCTGAATAAGCCTACACAACTATTATGCTACAGTTTGAAGGGTTCTAAAGTTAACTAGGCATAATACCAGGAGTTTACTTTATGTGGTCAGTAAATGGTTTCCAGAGATGCTCATTTTCATTCACTTTATAAGTAAGACTGAAAGCAAGGTTGCCAATGGAGTAAAAACACTCAGAGACACCACTTATTACTGGGTTCTCTTCTCATTTGCTGCCTCAAAGAGACTTTAATTTAAAGGGGTTTATAGTGTTCAGGAAAAGGACTGTTTAATACACTAGCATTAAGGGCACACTGATACTGATAACTGCAACTTCACATTGTCTACCAAACACTGTGAATCTTACAGACACCAGCATAACCAAGAATTATCCTCTGTGTACAGGTTGCATTCTTATTTATGAATTTGAATACTACCACCACATCCTACAATTTCTGAACATCTGAATCCTCTGAATGAAGAGCTTATCTGAAGAATATTATACACCTGCTAGTATTTACATAGAACACATGTTCTAATATACCAGAAGATAGAGGCAGCATTATTTGCCATCTTTTTTCTCCTGAAGTCCTTTTGCATTTTTCTCTACTTCCAGCAAATTCAGATGTGCACACTAGCTATTCTTTTAAAAGAGATATGCACTCAAGCTTGCATCTTTCTGAATGATGCGGTCCACATCAAACTAGGAGGTGGCCTTACCCACATATGTTATCTTTTCCAGATAGAGACATAATATTCACTCTATACTATAGATGCTTTCTAGACTAATATAGATGCTTATTAGCTATGCTAATAAGCTTTCTTTCCCTGTGATGCTTCAGTATGTAGAACACGAATCACCAGAGACAACAAATAGAGTTTACTGCAGTGTTTCAGAAAAAGTCAGCAGACTGATTATTTGGGACTTATATCTCTACCAGCATGTTCATACTGTCTTTATGCTGAGAATAGATTTTGGGAGTTTGATATTGCTCTAGTGACACCTCATTCCCCATATGAGATGGGAAAAGGGATGAAGTTTGGACTGATGCTGCCTACAGTGAAGAACTGCTGCTAGAAGCATTTTACTCCCCCCAAATCACATATTTCTATCAATCCCCCAGACAAATTTCCTTTTGTATTTATAAGTGCCATGGGTGTGTGACTATATAGGTAGTAATTAGAACAAAGCAGTGCAGGTAGCAATTTGCTAACTTTGGAAACTATTCTTCTCTGAAAATGAGAACACTTGATGCAAGTTAAGCAGGTTACTACCTTATCTGATTCAGAATCTGTGAACAGCCTTTCAAGAACTTCTGTAGCCTCCTTGAAATATCCATGTTCCATATGGACTGCTACAATCTACAACAAATATAATTACAAGATATGTTTGTAATACATTTCACCTGAGATTCAGAAAAAACAGAACTCACTTTTACAGTTTTGCAAGACTTCCAAAATCTAGAGGATTATATTTTTAAGGGTTAACAACAATCATTTAGTTATAACAGTCAGTTCTGAAGCAATATTGAACTTCATGGATAAAGGCCTAAAACCTCTCCATCAGGCATTTAAAAGGATCCTCACTGATGCAAAATATCCCATGCTTACCTACCAAATATTGCTTTCATCTTTCCTCAAAAGACTTTCAGTCCCAATAGCTGTCAACATATTTTTTACACGTTTCTTTGAAGTCTAAAGTTTTCTAATACAGAGAATTATTTTTAAGCAAAAAAAAAAAAAGCTATTCATAATATATTTTAAAGCTCACGATACTAATGTTTTGAAATTTCTCAACTGATATATATTTTTTTTCCCAGATTAGCAGCTTTTGAAACAATTTTGAACTGGGACAAACAAGAACCAATTTAGATAGGAAAAGGCCCCTGTGCAGATCTTTTCACTCTGTACTGGATAATACAACATACTTCAAAAATTCAGTTCAGCCTGCTAAATAGCCCAAGTTTCTGTAAATGAAGCCCTGTTTTAGCTGAATGAATAGGTAGCATCCTGAAGTATTTTGAGTAAGTTACACAGACTTGAATTTGAATCAAGCGACGAATATCTTCATGAAGCTTTTCCAGTTTAACTTCTTCCCCTTCAAGTAAAGTCCAGAAAGACAAGGCAGATTCCAAAGGTGAAATTCTTTGATCATTTTCAAAATGGCATTCTTAGGAGAAGAAAAAAGAAAAAAGGTATTTAAAAAGCTTAAAGGATAAAGCTAACTATATTACATTATGTACAGTACATATTACTTTATTGTATGTAAATAATTTAAATTCCTTTGTCTCTAATTTTTAGCCTCTCTTCCTGTGTGTTTGAGGCCTGAAGTAACTGCCTTCTTTTCAGAGACTGGTTCTTCCTACCCTTGCTAATAACATTACTGTTGCATTTTCAAGGGAGATTATACGCCTGCTAATTGTTGTTCACTTAAAATGTCACTTGCAATAGTGCTGAGTTTAGCATCATGTATTTGGGCTGGCATTAATAATACTCTTACATTAAGCCTGGCATCAGATATCAAAACATTTGGTACTGATACTATTAATTTTGTAATATAACCACTATCATAAGTTTTTTTTCCTGAGTCTATATTTCCAACTCTTAACTTTGTTATATTTGAAGGGGTTAAAATGAGAGGAAAAAAAATCAAACAGCTTAACACAGAAATGTCACTGCAAAAGCAGAAGCAACCTCCCATGTGATTGTACCACTGTGCCAACACCAAGGTTTGTGCAAACTCCCAGCAAGCAGGATCAGTGACCAGTTCTGGCAGAAGTGTTAGCTCAGCCAAATCACCATCCCCTCACCACTCTAGAAACAGTTTTGCAGTCTGGTCATTGCAGATCTGCACAAGTGAGTGTGCCAACATAACAGATGCAGTAGGAGCTGGCAGGTATGCAAGACTGCTTTTTTCTTCCTTGGCACTGCCAGTTTAGCTCAAGATGTTCACTGAACTACAGCCTCACTTATCCCTTCATTTTATATGACATCATAGCAGAATCTCTCTCAGTATCATCTTATTTCTTACAGTAAGTATTTTTCAGACAGAAGGTAAGCAATTTAAGTAATACTGAAATAAAAAATTTGATACCTGCTACAATAAAAGACAAACACTGAAAATTTAAGTAGTATTAGATGTCTATATACACATTTCAAAAATACTTCCATGTTTCTCTATTGTTTCAATCAAGTAATATGACATAATGCTAAAATAAACTTAATATGAAATAAAACCAAAGTGTTTAGCTCAGAGCTGGCATCTGAAAATCTACTCTGTTTTAAGGCTCAGATTAACTATTTTAATAGTTGGAAAAGAATTAGGAAAGCTACCATAGAATATATTAGCTTCCCACGTACATTGTGCAACTATATCTGATGCAATACCTACTAACCACATAGGTCATCCTCTACACTGATAAAAACACACATTGAAGTCATATTCCCAAATGTTATATATAATAATACAGTTTCAAAGCATTATCAGAAGAGTTTCATAATTTGTAGATGAACTATTTTAAAAATTAGAATTTGATTCCCAAGTTAAACTAAAGCAAGAATGTTTTTTTACCTGACAAGCAACATAAGAAATTTCATTTTATAAAAACAAGCCTCTGTGGCACTGCTAGGCTAGAATATACTTTTTTCTTCCATGCTCGTGCTGGCAAGGCTATTTTTGAAGTCCTTAAATTCCAATGAGTTTCATCAAGCAGTGAAGAAAACTTGCAGCAAAAAAGTTATGTCTTCCAGAAACCTGAGCAAGGAAGAGAAATTAGCTTGGCTAAACTAAGCTATGAATTCAGCCAAACAAGAGACATGGTAGTGAACAAGAGTCCCAAGGACCTGATGCCAGCTGAAAGTCTTACATCCTTCTGTAAGAAACAAGTGCAGTCATCCTTTTCATCAATATTTTTATTCCTACTGACTGTCCTATTTTAACCTCTAGAGTTAGATGTGCAGAAAGAAATGCACATTCTGTGCTTTAAACTCGCAAATATTTCTCACTAAGAGCTAGCCAATCTTTTCCAGTATATTTCGTCGGTGCTATTCTGACAAAAAAAAAAAGACCTAAAATCTAAGCAGCATATAGTCATTCAAACTCAGAGCAGCTAAATCAGTCAGTACAGCATAACACTGGTCCTGCATACAGCTCAGTCACATCTAGAATATACAGTTCAAAAATGCAGAGTTCAATCATTTTATTTATACACAGAAAAGGCTATGTGAAATCATCTAATACACCTCTGTGCAAGTTCACACAAATCTATTTAAACAAGTGAGAAAAAAAAAAATCAGAGTATTTACCAAGGCTTTTTCCTTTTGCAATTCTTATCAAAAGCTGACAAAGATACACTATCTTTTTCTGATGCGTAGGTATATTGGAGAAGCCATTAATGAGAGCTGGAAAAGAAAAGTTTAGTCAGTCTTGCTCCAGCACTGCCACAGTGTGGCTAGAAATACACTAGACACTAGACTTTAATAATCAACCGAATTTCTAATTCATTAGGGAATTGATGAAGCTCATTTAGTTAATATGCTTCCATGTTAAAAGAACTTGGATCATATTTAAGAATTTTATCAGGAAAACCTACCTCTCTCACAGTTCATAACAGTAACCCAGAAGTAGTAAAATGTATCACAGGCCTATATTCATCAATTTAAGAGACCACAATATCTTAAATGAAGTTTTGTTTTGCTCAGTAGTTTACTATGAAAGACAACTATCTGCTCCAGAGGACCATTTCTGTGGAATGCCCACAAAACAAGAGCCACATGCAGACTGGTAAACATACACATGTTCCTGTAGCAACCAGCAGACCAAAAGCAGCAAAAGCTACAAGGAGAGCTAGGTCAGAAATATAAATGCAGAAGGGAAAAAATATCCTTGCAAGGTTGGAAGGTCACAAGGATTATTATATATTTTAGAATGGGAGCTATCACGAGGTTATTTCCATCATGCTGGTTATGGTGAGCTTCATATTTTAATGTGCTGGATATAGTAATTAATCTTCATAGCATAATACAGAATAATTCAAAATGCAAAGTGAAGAATATGCCAAGTGACTTGTCTAAACTGAACACCCTAGTTCAGGTGCATGGGACCCCCAAGTTTTGCAATGATACACCTAGAGCACATAACACATTGCTTTACTTGGAAGTACTCAGCCTACTTGCTTATTAGTATATGATCATCTCCTATGAGCCATGGATAGGCATGAAATTACAGAGTAATTAAATAGCCCTGAATGATTACCTAAGCAAACATCAAGAAGGATATTGTCATTTGGGCTTGGAAGAACACACAACTGCTTCAGTGAGGACAGGTGATACAAGAGCTTTTAATTCCTATAGCCAAAATAGGAAGTAAAAAGAAAACCATTGCTAAGGTGCCACTCATTATAATCACAAATTCATGCATCTTGTTGTCTATGGAAGATGCAGAGTTCAAACTCAGAAAGTTCAGTGATAGAGATAAGCACCATCATCACGCCCTGAAGATGGAGCCAGAGCTTGGAAATTTTGGAAGTAGGCAGAATAGTGCAACTGAAGGGTTCCAGAGAACAAAAGGAGTCATCTTTGCAAGTAGCTTGAGACCTTTTAGCTTGCTTTGTTCTTTTAAGGTGCACCTTCATTAGTGCTTTAATTTAGAGCAGGGGTGCATTTTTAAAGCAAACTTGCTGTGCTTGGTTTGAATACACAAATTGAATTCCTTTAAATCTGTTTCAAAGAAAGAGAAACCTTGAAATGTTTACGGTGTGGACACCAGGTCCTTAACAGCAATTACAAGCAATGCAGACAAATAGAAAGAGACATAGCCTCAGTAATCTTTCCTAGACAGTTCTCCCTCCCTGCCCCCAAGGCAGTTTATCTATTAATTTGTTAATACTGTCCTCAATTATAAATTGCTTTCCTCCCTATGGCCACTCAAAAGTATTTCTCATCTTAGCCTTTCATTAGAAACTCTAGAAATACAGTTCATTGCCACGTAGATACCTACACAAACTAGTCCAGGTACATAGACCATAATATCTTGTCAAGGCAGGAGAAGGTAGGCAAGGTATGTAACCTTGTCATGATGTCTTTAAATTCTTAATCCCAGGTAACCTAGCTATTTCTATTTGGCAGTGTACCAAGCTATACAGAAATATTTTTAATCTCTTGACAAAATAGCTCACCTTGTTCCCTTAGCCTTCCTACCTTTCTGCACTTGCTTCAGTTTGAATTGACATTCTTGTTGACAATCATTATTCCAGTAGGGTCTCACTTTGACACATTCAAGAGTAATATTTCTGTACTTCTATAAAAAAGTCACACCTACTTTTCTAAAGCAATCTTATTACTGTGCTTAGCTTTTTCCATAGACTTTTACACTTCTGACTTTGTAACATTACAGCACCAATACACCCAACTCTTTCCTCTGTTGCTTAAGAGAACAGGAATGAATTCCAAATTGATCTCCTGTGTTTACAGTGTCTTTCCCACCTACACCTTCATGAAATTTCAGCACAATTCTCCCACTGAGCCAGTCCTGAGGCCAAATACAGAGAAGCATCATTAATAATTTAATCCAGCAGCCCCCCATTCAGTGTACTTTATTATGTTACCTTTAGATTTTTTTACCTCTTACAATTTATCATATCAATCTCCTTTGTAATCATTCTACATGCCATTGGATGCCCTTTTTTGCAAGGATTAAAACAAGTCATACTATCACATTTACTTAAATCAAGAACACACAGACACACACAAAAAATAATCCCCCAAAGCTCTAACCTGATATCTTCAGGAAAATTATTCCAACAGAAAAAAAAAAATCATAAATCCATCAAATTTATCTGAGACATATACAGTTTCTTGCAGCTGTTAACTACTCTTACTCTTAAGTGTTTCTCATTTTAAATATGTTCTTCCATTCACCAGACTTCACTACACCTTGGCACGCTATAGTTCCTTGAAATACATCTAGTCTTCTATCATAACCCTGAATATAAACTCAAAGAACTCAGAATATTTAAGCAATTCCACTCTGTTTTTTACCACATTTGCATCTCTTCACTAAATCTTCTTCAACTTTTCAGTAATGTTGAACTCTCAGCCTCATAAGTAATCAAGCTTCAAAGAATCAAAACGACAGATTAACACCAAGGATCATTTGAAATTCCTCAACCCCTAACCCCTCAGTAACCCCTGTTTTATTGGAACAGTTCAATTTGCTTTACTCCCTGCTCTCATTCAACCAAAGCATTTAAATTCCCCGAAGCTATGATTACCTTACAGTTCCCCCCCAGACCTGCCATCGCACGCTAAACTCAACCATCAGTGGATTAAACAAGGAAATAAAAATTCAGCCTGCATTGTTTTACTTCCACCACACGCAAGTGTTGCCTGATACCGTTAAATCAGCTCAGCAGACTACCCTGAAGCCCAGGAACCCCCTGAAGTCCTCAAAAGAGCTGAAAACCTCCCTCGCGCCAGTGACCGGGATCATCAGAAGGCTCCGTGTACAAAGACGTACAAAACGTGCTGCGGCTGCACAAAGCGTGCTTTCACAAACAAGAAATAAGCGCAGAAGCACGGTTAGAGCTTTAGCACGCTCTCCGGTGTATTTTAGAAAGCCGCCCCTCACGCTTTGCAGGGACAAGCCGCCCCCAGAGGGCCCGCACCCTCAGCGCCCCGACCGCGGCCCCTCACCCTGCGCCACGTCCCCCCAACGCCGGAACTCGGCCGCAGAGCCCTCTCCGAAATGGCGGCACAGGCAGCAGCAGGCGAACTCCAGCATCCAGCCCGCAGCCACGGCTTCCACCTCGGCCGTCGGGGGAGAACGCCCGCCGCTCCCGCCCGCCGCTCCCGGACTGAGGGCCCCGGCCGCCCCGGCCATTTCCAACCCGCGCGCCAACGGCCGCTGGGCCCTGCTCCGCCAACGGCTCGCCGGGCCCGCCCCCAGCCCCGCCCCTTGCCGTGCAGCAGCCATTCAGCGCGCCCGCCCCTCCCGGACTGGCAGCTGTCACCGCCGCCGGTGGGCGGGGCCGCGCCCCTCAGTCTTCGGAGGGAGAGGGGAGGCGGAGCCTGGGGCGCCGGTGACGACACGCGTGGCGTCACACACACACACACACACACACCCCGGAAGGCCGGGCAGGGGTGGGGTCGGTGGCCGCGTGCTGTGAGTGGGTCCGGGGGCAGTGGGTTCCACGCCAGAGCGTGTCCGGCACTGCAGGAGCCCCTCCGCTGGTCATCCCCTTTACCTCGAACTGAATAAACGACGTCACGCGGCCCACGTCACGGTGTAGGCGGCTCACGGCACCCTGTCCCCGCCCCAGACAGCGACGTTTTGGAAGGTCTGGGCCGTCCCCCGGCTGGCCAGTGGTGATGGGGGAGCTGCTCTGCTGCGGCCTGCGGCGGTGGGAACGCAGATGCCGTTTGGTGTCAGAGGCTGAAAAGTTAAAGGAATGTCCTGCCTGGAGCGGATTGCGGCGGCTAAAGGGCGAAACACTGGTGTTTTGTGCATGTGCGGTCCGGGGGGGCTTCACGTAAGCGTGGCTTCGTGTGGGCGGTGGAGAGGGAAGGCTGCTGGAGGAAGGAGGGAGGAGATGTCAGCGTCGCAGAGCTTGGAAGCGGAAAAGTGGAAGCCTCGACTTGTTGAAGCCCGGGATGGAACATAAAGAGCGACCGAATTAGTTGGAGTATGGAGTGCATCTATCAGAGAGGCCAATCCTTGTATATGTTAACATGTAAAACCTAATGGGGAAGAAGGTGGTTTACAAAGACGTGAATTTAAGCCAAATGCTGAAGGGCAGGACAGTTTTCCTGGCTGAGGCTTGATGGAGGGTGGAATAGTCTTGGTAGATCTGGTGAAAGGCTTTAATTTGAGCTTTACTTTACCCCTGGGATGAACCGTGTGACATCAGAGATCAGAATAAATGAACTGGTAGGCCTTTGCTGCCTTTGACTCCAGTGGTCACATTAAAGGCACCTGCAGCAGCCTTGCTGTGGCATAAATAAATTGAGGTTAAACAGAGAAGAGGATACATAATTGAAGATAAAAAAAGGTCATTTATTTGGACATAAGATTTAAATCTGTACTTTGAAAGAGACAATGTTTGGCAGCAGTTGTAAGCTTATGTTGTAATAAGCTTATAAGTGTGTGTTTGCACATGTATCTACAATAACAGCTTCAAGGACGTGAATTCTTTGGACTGGGCAAAATTGCTGTTATTTGCCATATTGCTTGATAGTACTTCAGGATAACAGTAAGCGTGAAACTGTGACAAGCTTTATCAGGCCACTGACTGTCTCAGGAATCAAAATTCTCCACGTTACTATTAAGTGATGACATGAATCAGTTAGAAATAAAAAATTAGATCATTATGCATTAATCTTCAATTGAGCATGTGTTCTGGGAATTTTGTAGTAGAAACTGGCAGCAAGATCTATCAAAGTTCAAAATTACCGTGATCAAACAACAGCAGGAAAAAACATCCAAACTGATTTTTTTTTTTTTTTTGCATTGATCCTGTTCAGGTCTTCTTTGCCTCCTGAGTATTCTGACTGCGGTGGTTCAAATGGAGAGAGACGTGCTAGTTTCTTGAAAATATACTTTGGGAAGCCACAGTAGTCGCTTTGATCTGTTAAACCTCAGCAAATACTGCAAAACCAGTGCAGTGTCTCTACACTACATTCTGTGACAAACACTTGAGTGTTGTCTGACTTTAGTTATCATCTGTATTTATGGGTGAATTTTTGTATTTAAATTATCTCTGCGCCTAAGACCTGGAAGGTCCGGGATACTTGTGTGCCTTAGAGCAGTACATTTCTGCCTGTGAGCAGCATCAGAGGACAGTGTTTTAAAGCACTGTCTTTTCAATCGGAAATCAATGCGTGAAGATGCTTCTAATGCAAGTAACTTTTCATCTAGGAAAGCACAAATTTAATTTAATTTTCATACTCCTTCTTGCAGCCTGTGCCCTTCTGTTATTTTAAAGTACTCTGTGTTATGTGTAATGGCCTGTCTGCACACCCACAAAGGAGCACTGACAGACAGTGATGGGTCAGGGAAAGCCCAGATAGTCCCTTGCCCCGGATGCTCCCAGGCCCATCTCCACAAGCCCAGAGGACACCATGGCAGGCAGGAATCCAAACTGCAGACTCCTGGGGAACAGAGACTGTACCCAGGGCTGTCCCAGGAGAGCTCCAGCCCCCCCTCGCCATGTCCAGATGTGAAATCCATCATCATCAGTCATCTGGAACAGCTTTTCAGATCACCTTTTGGGTGCTGCTGAGGTGTGGGACACATGATGAGATGCAGGGAAAGGGCATTTTGGGGTTGCACAGGACTTATTATGGGAGGAACCAAAGGCAGGAAAAGGGAGGGGTTTAGGTGATACAGAGGAGGGACAGGTATGAAAAAAATTCAGGGACAAGGGGATAAAATAGTTGCATGGAAATAGTTGGCTGTCCAGTATGCTCATCTGTGCTGGATCAGTGCAGTCTGACCTAACTGCTTATTAAATTAATTCCTAACGTCTTCCTGGGTGAGTGCTCTTGTGTGTGTGTGTATGTGCCTAAGCCCAGTGGATCTCACTCCTGCTCAGCCAGAGAGGGGAGCAGGATGAGGCCACCTGTGCTGTCAGTGCTTGTGTGAGTTTTCTGAGTATCTGTGATTTGTGTGGCTGGCTGAGTATATATGTATGTTTAGATGTGTCGTATACATGTGTTCTGTGTGTATGTGCCCGCGGGGAATACATCTTTTGCATGGTTTTAAACTGAGCATTAACATTACATAAATGCATTTTCTGCAATTATTTTCTGGATTTTATAATGAAACAAGGATGGGGAAAGGAAGGATATGGATATAAGACATGGGTAGGCTGAACTTGAACTTTAGTTTAAATGGGCCTGACAGAATTCCCTGCCAGAATGCAGAGGTTCTTGAGCTGGCGCAACATGCTCTTCCAGGTTTAAAAACTGCAACAGTGGTATATTAAGTACTTTTTTTTTTTTTTTTTTTTTTTTTATTTCATGGAAAATATGCTGAGATCCAGTGGCATTTCTGACTACTGCTTGCCTCACTAGTCGGTATTTTGCACTGTTGTCCCAAATGCAGTGTTTTGCAATACATTCTAGCACTAAAGCAGTTTTAGAGTTCTCCCAAAACGTTCTTCATTGTTTTTTCCACAAATAATACAAAAATGCAGCAGTTTCCTTGTTCTGAAGACCTTCCTTTTCGATCCCTGTGTGATTTGGTCTTATATATTTTCATCTTAATCTCAACCAGAATCAAGAATCTTATTAAAAATACTTATCAGCGAAGCTAGCGAGCTGGAAAAAAGAAGTCATACACTGAAAACCCCAAGGTCCCTTCCACTTATTGAAATTTTTGTGGTGTTAGTCCAGTTTATCCCTTTAGCTGTCTTTTCTGCCTGAAAGGCACTCTTTCAAAGTTGCTGAGCTTTTTCAGATGTGTTATACCACAGTTTTTTGTTGCATGACAAAGCTGCTTCTTGGCTCACAAACTGATTTCTCCTGAGTGTTACAGCATAGGTTCTTTTTTTTATCCTACTAGCAGTGCTGAGCCATGAGACCGATTGAACCAGTAGACATTAGAATGAAATCTATTAAAATCCTCACAACCATGGAACATATGTTTAGTTATAATATCTGTTATATATTAGTATATGCAGTTACTTTGGTACAAAGGTGAAAGAGATGGTTTATTACTCTTGATACACATTTAATCAGCCAAAATGCTGTTCTACTGTAATATACCTTATTAAATTAGTTCAATGGTTATAGTCATGCAATATAGAATGATGGAAAAATCAAAGTAACAGAGCCTTGAAAGTTCTGTTAAAAGAATATTACTGAAGTTGTTCATTGTAAATAGTAATAAAGAATCAGAGCATATTTCTGATAGATTACTGTCAAAAATAACAGATCTTGGAAAATCACATCTATCTAGAATTTACGGGCAGTAACTGTCCATTCGGTGAAAGATTTTATTTCTGAGCATGCCAAGATTATGCAAGCATAATTTCATAGAGACATTTCAGAGATTTATGGGTATTGTTCCTGAGCCAATCATACAGAAGCAGTTGGATGTAGTACATTTCTGAGAGGAGAAGAATACAGTGGGTGAGGTTGTTCTGGAGTAGGAAATAGTTGCAGCTCTACAATGGTGCTCTGTCTTTCCTTGATCCTCTGGGCATGCATCTGCTGGGGTTTCAAGTGGTTTAGGCTTTGCAGGCAAAAGCAGCAATGCTGAACCAATGACTCTCCTTCTCTACGGTCACAGGAGTACTCCAAACCCAACATTTCTGTATGAGAGCCTGTTTGGAAGGTCTGCAGGTCACTGCAAAAGTACGTGGCCCCTTTGTGAATGAGTCCTGTTGCTTCCAAGGGGACAGATTCCTTCTGGAACTCTGATCAGTGGGAAAGGAAGAACTTTATGATTAATTAACTAGAGAAAGTGTAAGACAAAATGAGTGGAATTTCCTAGGACCTGATCAGGAGCAGGATATTATCCAAGTGCTATTAGCGCTTGTAAAATATTTGGATGATTTCTGAAGCTTAATCTATAGATCTCATTGTGTGCTTTAAATACTAGACATCTTAACAGCTCACTGATCTACTATATGTATGAAAGAAGAAAGGTCGCATTATTCTCAGTTAATGTAATGCAGTTTTAGAGACAGACGTATGATAGGTAGTATTCAATATAATGAACAAGGTCTCCTCCCCTTTACTGAGATTAATTCACACACAGAAAAGGAATTGATAGGTATTTTATTCTGCCCCGGCTGACGAGCTACATTAGGGGCTCAAATAGAGTTAAAGACAGGGTAGCTGACTAGATTATCACCAGCCATGTCCGTTGGCACATTTGCATCACTGAGTGTCAAACCAATGTTTTACC